ATCACCAACATGTCCGTCCCAATAGCCAATCCTATAGACCACCCTAGGCGAGAATTGAATGCGTAGGAAGATTATTAGAAATTTTTACGGTTGTAAGGCGTGGTTTACGATGAAATAAATTCCGGCCGCCATTTTGGTTGGCAACTTTCAATGGAGAACAAACGGGCCGACATAAAAACAAACCTGTATTAAAATTTCTGAAGCAAATTTGACCAAATCCTTGACAGGAGAAGCTTAGAGGCAGCTGTTCTTTCTTATAACAAGCGATTTTTAGCTATTAATAGAGCTACAGCAGGTAAGTGAGGCATTTTCTTCGTGCCTCCATTGACTTCCATAATAAACTTGCCAACCAAAATGGCAGCCAATTATGATGTGTGGGCGGGTACCGTATATAAAATTAATGAAATTCATAACTTTTCCAATTCACGCCTAGGGTGGTCTATATCTATGCACAAAATGGCTGCTCTTCGACCCCATTACCAATACCTTATTTTATATTAATACTGATTTCAAACACATTATAACTACCTGAAGTATTGAGTATAACTAGTATCATGTGATAGAGCCTCTAAATGACCCTCTTTCCCGACTAAATCAGCAAGTAAGTGAGACAGCATTTCCAGCGCCTTCTTTTAGTGCCTAAAGACCCCTTAACTCGATCAAGCCTAGCTAGAACTGGTCCTTATCTTCTTTGAGAGTAAAATGTAACTCAATTTGGTACCAAAACCCCTCTCTGCCTGCGTTTTTCCTTGAAGAAGCAACATCATCTAGAGCAGACATTTTTACACGTGAAAAAAACGGAAGCCACCATGCCCAGGGCACCGCCTTTTATACCGCACCTTCTCGTTTAAGCATAGATATTACTATGGTTTAAGCTATCTAGTCTCGCGTAGCCAGCCCACGTGAGACTAAGCTAAGCCATGGCTAAGCATAGATACTTTAATACTTATTCACTGCTCAAGAACAAAATGAGTCTCTCAGAGGGAGAAAAGATAGTATTTTTAGTGAAAGACTGACGCAACTACTTGCACACGCATTGGTTTGCTTTAAGCCTGGTTTGTAGCTGTTGTATGGATTCTGTCGTTAGCATACAACTGTTGTAGAGATAGACCTGATTTCTATCTCCAGGATTATTGCAACAGTGTTGTAAGGCTGTTTAATGGCTTTATAAAAACCAGGCCTTAAGCAAACCAATTAATAACAAAAAATATTAATAAAAAGCATAAACATTGGTTGGTATTGTGTGTCAGTTTTGTTTGTATATATAGCATCCTCTAGTCTCGCGTAGCCAGACCACGCGAGACTAGGCATCCTATAGGAGTTATTCAAAAATAAAGCAATAAAACATGTGATTTTTGGTCCAAAATTTGTCAAAAAATCCCAACCCACCTCGCAACAATACAAATGAATGGAGGTTCGCCTACGCCCACACTTCCAATCCCTTTCATAAAGTACTCTATTGTCTATGATTAATGACAAGAGATTAATGACAAGAGATTAATAATAATAACAATAAAGTTTGATGCATGCACTACAATAATAGTGAAGAGAGAAAACATAACAACAACAACAACAACAACAATAATAATAATAATAACAACAATAATAATAATAATAATAATAATAATAATAATAATAATAATAATAATAATAATAATAATAATAATAATAATATCAACACAAGTGATGTGAGTACAAACAACTATTATTTTTAATTTTAAACAGAAACTTGTTAAAGTCAATCAATTCCTCCTCATACTAAAGTCCCTCCAATGACAGGAGCAGGTGAAGACAATATGGGAACATGAGTTGGGTAGCCGTTATCAACATGAGGAGAGGACAAGTGAGTGGAGCTACGAGTGACGTGAGCATTGGTCTGAATACCAGGAGGGTACATGGGAGAGTGCTGCATACTGACACACCCAGTTCTCCCGGGATATGAGGGTCTGTTACGAGGGATGGACTGACGAGGAGGAGGAGGAGGGTGACCAATGGGATCCTTCTCAGCATAAGGAGGAGGAGGAGAAGAAGGAGAGGCTAGTATTGGTTTAGAAAAGGAGGAGGTAGGAGGAGGAGGGGGTAAGCGCTCAGAACTTGATATGTTAGGTACTGTCCCTCTTTGTTGCATTGGAGCAGCTCCTGTTGAGCTCAGTCTTGACCTGTGGTGGTGGTGGTGCATTGGTTGAGAGGATGAAGTAGGATATACACTAGTGGTGGAGGCACGTGGTCTGTGAGCAGTAGTAGAGGAGGAGGAGGGATACTGTGACTGATAATGGTGGTGTGCTGTTGGTTCAACTATTATACAGTATTTGTTGAACTTTGTGATACTCTTGGTGATACTGATACAAAGATTGAGGTACATTTAGTACATACATACACACATACATATACATGCACACACACATTAGTTATTCAGAATAGAAGAAGTGGTTTAAGAACTAACAGTGTGATCATTTTATTTATTCCTTTTATAGTTACTGCATCCATTAGGGGAGGACAGTCCCATAATTGAGGGATTTTTAAAATGTAATCCAGCTGGAGGGATACACCACATCTGCCTTGAAGTAAGTCCATGTACATGTACATTATACATATACTTTAGCAAAAAACACTTGCTACTTTAACATTTTAAAGATAGAGTACAACTTAATTTATTTACTTAAAAGATTGACATATACAATTACAAACCTACAAGTACATGTACATACTACTCTAACATTGTTTTTGATTTGCTGAACATTAAGATTTTAACACATTTATATTATTAGCTTTATTACATTATATTATACCCTATCAATAATCATTATTAATTCATTGTGTATTATAGGTTAGTGACATACATAAAGCAGTTGATTCATTGAAAGGTAAAGTGAGAGCATTGAATCCTGAACCAAAAGTAAGACCCTAACATCCTCTATACAGTACCATATATGGTCATTGATATCCTCAGATTGGTGCTCATGGTAAACCAGTTGTGTTCTTACATCCTAAGGATTGTGATGGAGTACTGGTTGAACTGGAACAAGAATAATTAACAATAATTCTAACTATAAATTTACATAAAAAGTAGCAAAATAATATTATTAGCAATAAAATAATAATAAAGCAAAAGAATTTTACAAAGAAACAAATAATTAGTTTCTTTTTACCACACATTAAGCTAATAATAATTAGTGTTGCAAATAGCAATAAGATCAAATTTGTTTAAGTAGCACACAAAATGGTAAACTTACATGTAAGCTGTATAATTATTACAATATTTAATGTATATACATTTTTATTTCACGAGTAATTGGATAGCGGTATAGGCCCCAGTATAGGTATTCCACTACATTCTTTGTAAAAGTCTTGATCATACATTGACTTCCTGTTCTTTTGATTTCCAATTGCTTGAGTGATGGGAATCGTGTACGATGGAATAACTCCTCTATTGCTGTTGTATTAGTATCAGATGACTCCTCAAGATATTCACACACTATACTCATTTTTGTGATGGTTGGGTGTGATTGTAGCATATGAAAGATATCAGGTAATATTTGTTTGTAAAAAAAAGTTTTCATTATCTTTTTCTCGTCATTTAGAAAGTAGTAGCATGTCTGATCTAGTTTGAAGTGAACTTCAAGTTCTCTGAAACTATATTTTTTAGATATGACGTTTAAGAAACTTTTTAATTTTTCATTAGTAATAGGAAGGAAAACAGGTATACTGAATTTTTGTAGACAATTTTTTCGCTTGATACCAGTAGTTATGATAGAAATATATGAACTAGCACTCATACACTTCTTCTTATAATAAGAATAATTACATCTACCAATACTGCAGATTGTAAATATGCTCCCTATCTCAAGTTTCACTAACAGAGCTTCAAGCTTGGTGTTGGTTTGTAAGATAGTAAAGAGGTCATTAATACTCTTAGCTGTGTCCAGTTGTATATTAAGTTGTTGTAGATTAGGATGAGAGTCAAATATGAGACGTGGGGGGTATGGCAAAGGTAGTATCAGACATTCTAATCCTTTGATACAGGGAAGGAGCAAGTTCATTAGTATACTACCAGATTCTATCTCTAGAGAAGTCAATGTTGACATTACGTTCATTTTATTCACTGGTAACGGAATGTAACAATTGGGTATGGTGATGGAAAGATCTTGTAATGTGTTGTTGTTCCTCAGTAAGTTCTCTATTACACCATCAGTTAGAGCATGATGATCAGAATAAGAACTAAGCAGTTTTAATGTGAACGATGTTATCATTTTGTTTTGGGTAATTCCATTAATAACACCTGCCACAAATGGTTCAAGAAGTTTATGTGTTGACAAGTCATAACAAAATATAACAATAGTTTGTAATTTTGAATTTGTTTTGATGCATTGCTGAAGTTCAGAACATTTTCTAATATAAGTAGTCTCATCAAGATCTGTGCAAATTTCTCCACCAAATAATAGCACCTTAAGTTGAGGTAAAGTGACTAACTGTATCAATGTAGGAACCAAGTCACAGGTATTGCGCTCAAATAAAACTATTATATCTTGAATATTATGCAGTAGTGCCTTTGCAAAAAAATTAAGCAATAAATTACTGTCAGATATATTTTTAGGCATCACCTTCAACTTCTGGCACTGACTTACTAATGATGTATTGCTCAATCCAGCAGTCAGCACTGATAATGATTGCTCATCTAATTTATGCAGGTCCAACCGATCCCAATCTGCATTATTTATGAGATAACTGAAACACAACCATTCAAACAATGAAAGCTTAGTGATGACTGAATTACTAATACCAGCCTTACGATTAAGACACAGTGATTGGCCTTCAATAGAATTTGTAAATAATTTGCACAATGTTGTATTTTGAGACTCGTAAAGGAACTGGAGAAGTAAAACCTGCAGTTCCTCAAAATCAAAACCTCTTGCATGTTGAATGAATCCATTAAACCAACTAGTTTCAAAATCTCCAAGTGGGCTACTCTCACACTGTAACTGTTTTTTCTTTTCAAAATACTGTTGATAGCTCTCATTTTCAAGATGAGTTAGACCAGCCACAAACCTCAGACACATTTTAAAATGTTCATTGTCAAAATAATCATTGAAAATTGTTTCAGTATTGTCATGCTTAGATATCCACCATGCAGCTAAAAATTCCTGAATACTTAAATGAATAAACTGATACTTCTTCTCACCAAACTCTTCAAATTTTGTGAGCAATCCAAGATAGTCCTCCTTTGCTGCTTCAGCTACAGACAAGTCCAGTTGCTGTAATGAAAATGTCATCTTTGTATCAGCAAGAGTGGTGTAAGCTAAATAGCTGAGTTCTTTTAAAGCCTTATCTAATTTTGATGGCAATGTTTCAAGACTGACTAATGTTTCTGGATCAGTTCCATGCTTTCTTTCTATATGTCGTTGAATAGTTTGTAAGATAAAGTTCTCATACAATTGAGTGAGTGTTGTTGGTAAGTGTCCTCCAGCCTTACAATAAACTAAGATGACCATTGAACAAACCAGTGGAATGTAACACAAAGACTGCACATCACCTCGTACCTTGAGTTCATTAATGAGTTTTACTGCTAATTCTGAGTCCTTATTATATTGAGTAGTTTTGAAGAATTCATTGTTTGCATTTTCATTGATAAGTTTTTCTGCTAAATCTGAATCTTCTTGAATTGTTTTTATAATTACTGTGGATAATTCTTTTGTGGATAATCCAATGATCTGAACATGTTTACTAACATATTTTAATGTTTTTAAAAGTGACGCAGTGGCATAGCTACGAGAGGTAACAATCACCGAACATTTTGCTAGCTGATTATTACAAATAATGTTAGCAACTAGTGAAGATTCCCTATGTTGCAGACTTAGCTCGTCCCATCCATCAAAAATTATTAGCAGCCCTTTTCCATGTTTCTTTGAAACCCAGTCAACTATATTTAGTATGGTAGGACAGTCATAAACATACCGAAAAAGTTCTTCTAATTTCTCCGCTTTGGCTACCTTGCTATTTCTCAAAGGACAGTAAAGTACCAAGTCAAATAGGCAGCCTAGTACTCCATTTGACCACATGTTCAACAGTTTACGACAGAGTGTTGTTTTGCCTATCCCAGGAGGACCATCAATTACTATATTTTGAGAAGAGTATAGATCTACATCTACATCTTTATTTTTTTTGAGAAGAGTAAAATTTTTAGTTTTTAATAAATCTTCAATTTTTATTTCCCTGTTTCCAGAGAGGTAAGGAATTTTATCAACTTCTCCTCTCAACATGTGCCAATGTATTTGTTGCTCTGCTCGTTTGATCATATTCTGCCCTTCTATTAGTGTCAATCTACCAAAGAAGTCTTTTCCAACTCTTGGTGGCCAGTCTTCAGCTATAATGGGTTGCAGATTATACCTATGTCTCAATATCTCAGCATATTCTTGAACATCATCAGGCGGAAGAATGATTGTGACTTTCAGTTCCTGATCATCAGATATAAGTTTACCTAAAATGAATTGAGGATATCATAAACTTATCAATCCTCATAATATATACACACACTTACCTAACTCCTTTAAAATAGGGACAGTAATTTCTTTTAGTGGAACAAGGTTTTGACTCAATAATATATAACAAACGTTGATCAAATATTGTTTTTGATTACTAGATGCTTCCAGTAATTTTTGCAATGTAATGAGTAGCCTCCCAGCTTTCTTTGAATTATTATCCTTTCCTTCATAAATATCTTCTTTGGTATCCAGTGATATTAGTCCTTGAGCATACAGTAAATCAGTTACTTTGTATAAGGTACTTGCAATCATTCCAGTGAGCTCAGCAGAGGCAGAACGTAATAAACTGGGTGCATCATCTGGTTTTAGTGGTTTATCTATACAGTATTATAAGGGTAGTAGTAAAAGTAGAAATGAAACGAACCAGAAACGGAAAGAAACCAGAACAGAGACAACTAGAGGACACCTAACATAAGTAGGGGACTCTTAACATGACTAGGGGATGCTCTAGAATAAAAAAAAACTAAACCCTAAACCCAACCTTGGGGACTCCTAAGCTAACTAGGGGACTCCTAACATAAGTAAGGAACTCCTAGCATGACTAGGAGATTTCTAACAAAAATTAAAATTACATTGGGAGATTGTTTCTTTCCGTTTCTGGTTTCGTTTTGTTTCTACTTTTACTAATACCCGTATTATAATAATAATTATTATTACCTATGTCATGTAATTAAATTGTTACCTGTTACAGGACCAGGATTGAGTTCCACATCTCCTGACAGTAGGATCAGGAGGAAATAGAAATACAAATTGAATGAAACTGTGAACAAGTTAAAACTGCCAATGACACTAGCTCCCACACATAACTGAAGCCACTTCAAGATATCATCACCAACAAGCAATTGGAAGGAGGTACAGTGACCTATTATGGAATGGAACACAGTATGTTATTTACATGATAATTAAACCAGCATTTCAAAAACAACATAAAGAGCTGATTCATTTTTACATAAACTTATGCCACATAGATCTATGTTAATGTAGATCTACAATACCAAACATCATTTGAATGCCTACCTGTTGGAGTGAGTCTTGATGCACAGAATAAAAGGATGAAAAAGATAATAAATGATATCAGATCTACAGCTGATGCTTGAAAAACAGGAGCCTTGTTCCTTCCAGATGTACAATCCCTTGTAGGTAAAGACTCCTGATCACTGTCATAATGACTGCGACGACCAGTAGCTGCTTGACAACAGTTCCAACTCCCAATACTGGCCCTCCACTGGCAGAGATCAATCATCTTTTATAGACTAAGAGAGCAGTGGTAGGGAAGGAGTTATTGTAGATTTTAATATTTTATTCCAAAAGGAGCAGAATTAAAGTAGAAAAGAAGTAAACAACGTAAAAATATTTCTTCCCAAAGCAATGCAGCTCCACCTTGCTTGGGGAGTAGCTCAATCTGATTGGTCTATGATGACGCCCTTACTTACCGGTACCATCATGTTATCATTAGATTAAATAATAATAAACAATGTATTTAGGTACATTTACACATGCACTACAATAATAGTGAAGAGGAAAACAACAACAACAACAATAATAACAATAGTAATAATAATAATAATAATAATAATAATAATAATAATATCAACACAAGTGATGTGAGTACAAACAACTATTATTTTTAATTTTAAACAGAAACTTGTTAAAGTCAATCAATTCCTCCTCATACTAAAGTCCCTCCAATGACAGGAGCAGGTGAAGACAATATGGGAACATGAGTTGGGTAGCCGTTATCAA